CCGATCTCCCCAAAACCCCAAAACCCCAAAACCCCAATCTTCGAATAATAATCGAATTTCATTGGTTTAGAAATATATAAACGTTCGAACATCAACAAATTAAATTTAATATCGAAAATCTAAAAGAATATGGAAAGCTACACTACGCATATCAAAATGACAAATTCTAGTACAAGTTTAGAATATCAAAAATTAATTCGAAACTATTATACCCCTCAGCCGTCTAGAATCTTTTTATAGACTCCTATTTTTGCTCAAAGTTTATTTGTTTAAGAATGTTCTCCCAAACCAAAAAGTGAAATTCTTCCTAATACACAGTTTTTAAGCAACCAAATTTTTCAATAAAGCCTTCAAAGTACGCTATTGAATAATCAATTGAGAGCTAATCCACAAATTCAAATCAAGATTTTATAAAAGTTAATGGAGATAAAAGCTATGAACTATAAATCAAATATGAATAATCTTATTGAGATTTTGTCTCTATACTCTAAAATGCCAAAATATAAAAATGCTTAATTTTCACTTCCTAACATTTGCTCAGATTTCTAGGATTAAATATTCACTTAGTCTGAATTAAATCATTACATATGGCAACACAAACTTATCTAATGTAAAGATTAAATGCACTAGGAGTTGGAATTAATCACAGATAATCGCTACGCAATCGAAGAAAAGAAGGAGGGCAGCACTGAAGCATCTACTCTCAGTCCGTATCCAGAAAAAGACGATTAATAAAAGAGGAAAAGGAAATACGTCAGAATAAGTGATAAATTAAAGGATCTTAATTTTGAGATAAATTCAAATTCTGACGAAAACTAATACATTGATCAAAATATCTAATCAGATCCTGTTTAGGATGACTATATTAAATAGGGAATAGACAACTAGAAATTAGTCGGAAAATATGACCTTCAAGAGAGGGCAAAGAGAATTCTTAAATATAAAACTAAAGCCATTAAGCACAGAACACTCCATCCAATTATGAAAAAATTCAATGGAAGAAGTAAAGTAGCAACTAATAAAGTCAGATATAATGGGCGTTTTGTTAAAGCCTCAATTTTAAGTCAGGCATCTTCTAATCAATGACTTCAAGTTTGATAATTGTGAATAAAAAATATAGTACCAATAGATAATATACTTCCTTATAATTATGAATTTTGATAAGAAAATAAAACAAAATATATTTTTATCAGGTTAATTGTTTATTTTTTCCAAAAGTTAACCAACGATTACATTAAATGGGGTTTTGGGGTTTTGGGGTTTTGGGG